AGTTGGGGAGCCAGTAGGACAGATTTCCCGGCTGAAAAATTTTCACGGCAACACCAAAACCAACAATGGGCAGCGGAACGGCCGCTAATACGGCTTTAGATCTTCTCGCGACATCTACAGGCGTCAATATGGTTTTTTTAAAGACAGTGGGGACATATTTAAGTAAGGACCGAGGCAGACTGGTGAATTCAGGTACTTACATATCTGCGGCATCGATGGTGGAGATAGATGAGGCTATTGACGCCTTCAAAGCCCACACTCAGATGTTACAATCTAAGATGTCGGCAAAGCTTATGGAGGAAAGGATGCTTGCCTTAAATAAGGCAATTACGAATAGTCTCGAGGAGCCGGCGCGCAAAGCAGCAATAGGGATACGAGTCGAAGGGGCACAAAATATGCAGCCGGCAGAGCTGCTTAAAAAGGCAAAACAACACATTGAGGGAGCATATGCTGTATGGAAGCTAAGGAATAACGGCACTGAGGTGTTCGTGCAGTCGGTCTCCCAACGAGACGCTGCCTTGAGGATGACTCCGCCAAAGGAGTTCAGCGTCATAAAGCAGGATTACTCTGTTGAGATTTTAGGAGTCCTATCTGGGACAATACTACGAGGAGGAAAGAATGCCGACAACGGCACATTGATAAAACAAATAACAGAGCAGACAAAAGTTCAGATTCCCGATCTATAAATCAACAGGGTGCGGTGGCCTTACGACGGTAAAGAGTACCAATGGATGGGAAGAAACGGACATACTCAAGGATCGGTGATCGCGAGCTTACCGACAGAGGCACTTCAACGCGAAGTGACAAGAAACGGCATTGTGCTGAACTCAATGCTGTACACGGCCCAGCTCTGGTCACCCCGTGCGCAAGTCAAGCAGTGCTTCAACTGCAGCGAATGGGGGCATACTCAAGCCTCGTGTACCAAGGCGAAAAGATGTGGTGAGTGTGCGGGTACTCATTAGACCAGAGACTATCCGAGGAAGTCGGTTCTTTACTGCAACCGCGGTAAAGCCCATAAATCTTGGTAGAAGGGGGCGTGTCAAAACTTCGCGTCATATAAGGCCAGCGTTCAAAGGGCCAGGTATGAACTCATGGAAAGAACGGCAAATCTAAGAAGAGAGGAAACGTCACCAGCGGCATCACAACTAACAACAGCGGCATAAGAAATGGACGACCAAGGATTCACACTGGTGTCCAACCAAAAGCCAGAGGGATTTAAGAGAGGGCTAGGACGCCCGCGCAAACAGCCCCTGGTCAGTCCACCACCTCAACAATTTGCGCCATCAGGGTCAAACTCAAGACCACAGTCATCACTTTTTAGCACGCCAGGGCAGAGAAAGGATGGCGAGGTAAGTTTCAATTTTAGCTAGTCTTGTCTCGGACTCAAGGCCAATTGCACTTCCTATAGGTAACGAAGGACTACAGATGAAAAAAAAATTAATAGGGGGAGGGGTTTTTATCGTAATGGTTTCCCCCTCATGTAAATATAAATAGTTTCATAGTCACCTGCGTGGGCCCACAGGATGCCAAATCAGGTTAAATGAATTCAAATTCAAGTTCAAGTCCAATGTTCCCATAGTTGTAAAATATCAATTCTTATTTACTTCATCATGCATATCCATATAATATCGTACAGAGTTTATTTTCCAATAGAAGTTGAGCTGAGAGTCTACCTATACTCCCAGCCATCTGACGTACGGGGACGTAGGTATACTATGGCCTTGGATCTGAACGGACAGGCCTGAGGTATCTAACTTTTACTTTGGCCCTCCCCCAATTACCAGTAGCTCAGACTTTGTCGGATCGTAGTCTATCCTATTTTCACTCGCTAACTGAACTAGTTTGTCGACTTCTGTCTTGGCTTCGGCCACTGCCTCAGATGCGGTATTTCCTGTGCTGAGTATCGCAACATCGTCAGCGTACTCGAACTTTGTATTCTTAATCTCGTCTTGCAATAGTATTGCAATATATAATAATAACAGTAGAGGTGATAGCGGCGACCCTTGTGGGTCTCCACACTCGGCGACTTTATCCCGCGTCGTACCATCACGGTACCGCACCCTTATCCTTCGCTGGGTTAGAAAAGACTCTATCCACAGGCAAAGTATCCTTGGCCATCCCTGATTCCGCATCCGATGGATCAGTCGTTTGTGCAGAACTGCATCAAACGCTCCTTGTAAATCCAGAGTGACCATGGCTGTCACCCTGTTGCTTCGCATTGCAGCCTCTGCATCGTGTATGACACAGGAGACTAGGTCGACTGCCGAGCGTCCAGGAAGTGCGCCAAATAGCTGTTGAGGAACGACTCGGTGCTCTATTACTAGTCAGGCCATTCTCTCGACCACAATTCGTTCCAAACCTTTTCCGAGGCAAGACAGAAGAGAGATTGAGGCTTAGGCTCTATGTCGCTTAAACTTGCAGTTATAGCGCACACCTTGCACTCTTTAAGCAGCAATCCGAACCTGAAAGTCTTTTAATCTACTTCTTCTTTCGTCCTAGAATACTGCGCCCATATTATTGCATGATATTTCCAACAGTTCATACTTTCAATTCGACAATTCTATCGGTGATATATCTTTCAATCCTGCATATATACACCCGCTTTTCCAAGGCCATAGCGGGTCGACTGAACTTTGCTGTGAAAATCGATTTTATTTATTATGATTTGCCGGTTACAAGCCCTGCATTTATTTTGAAAAGTCAATGGCAGTTGATCTTGAGCAGCTGAATACTACTAAGATGACCCATTCAAAACGTACTAGGAAATAATTGTCAAAAGACATAGTTTGTGGGTCCGGTGCGCTACTCCTTGTCTACATCCCATGATTTTATCCATCATCAGATCACTCTCTACGGCAAAATCTTCGCTTGCGCTGATTTTTGCTGTAATGAACTGATTCGTCCTTCATACCTATATCCAGCGAAAGAAAAGTGATGCTTCCTGATTTTTGAGTATCGGTAACTTTATCAGTGATCGTAGCCTCGGCGCCCACAAGTACCCCAAAGTCGTAACCCCCGACAATCGTGATTCCTAGCTCACCCATTAGTGACCTATTCTCTTTCTCGTCCCGTGTCACAAATGTATGCCTCCCCCCAAGTTGTAGAGGCTCATTAGAGCAACGGTCCCCCATCAATCAAGACTCGAGCTTTGTATGATGACTAAATTTCTTCCTTGCGGGTATGCGTAGTTTTTTAATTTCGTAGAGATTGACGGTCAGTTTCCGATAAGGCACTATCCCGTTTGCAATTCAAGCAACTCCTTAATCGATCATTGATGCGAGATGGTATGTGGTAAGATTAGGCTGGAGGATTCGTAAGAGAATATTTGGATAGACATTGATGAGAAGTCTTCGATTCTAGATATGCTTGGATTTGATTTCGACTTTGATTCGGATGCGATTCTTCTAGGCTATCAAAAATATACAAAGTAAGCCAAGCAATTACACTGGCGCCGCTGGAAGGTGAAAGATCCGTTTTTGACAGCCTGGGCTAGGCTCGAGTCGCTACCGTATTCATGATGTCATATTACTGGCCAAAGCATCAAATACTTCTATAAATTCTTGGGCGAGGTCGAGCCCCTCCTTTCTTTCGTCTTATGCCGTGTGTAATGATTTAGCAGTACATATTGTACTTGTGTCAAGTGTCCACCAAGATTTGAGATTATAGACGATTACCAAACGATAGCGTGACTCGTTGTACTTCATGTTTGAGCATGTCAAAGTCGATAGATGGGAATTTTATGATATTTGTTATGAGTGATAGAGATTTCTTTTCATTGAAAGATTTAGATATCTTCCACTGTTCAGAGTATGCTTATATCTAGGATCTTGTTTAAATTGTTCCGGTTTGTTTTATTCTGTTCATTAACCTACTAGGTGAATTACAGCCATCGCACTCCTACTGGAGTTTAAGCACGAGTGGGACCGGGCCGGATCAGATTAACTACCGTAAAGTACAGATATGCCTCATCCCACCTAAATGACTGAACCACCTCAGACCTCACCTATGTGTTGAATCATACCAAGCCTGACTGTCCAGAAACCTGCTGTATGTAAGCCGTAGCGCAAATTACTCCTCAGCCTCGGCCACCACGTGCCTGAGCTCTTGTTATCCTCATTGAATCCGAAATATAAATTTCGTCCCAGATCTCATTGTTGCTCTAACCTTGAGCCTTCATATCGTACCGCTGGGTTGTTGTCGTCAATGGAGATCTATATGATCCTCTTGGTGCACCTCCAATTTTTTCCCTCCTTTTTACACGTACCGTTTGCATCATGACTTTCCTCGTTAGGGTGTGTGTAGGTAGGTGATGTGATAAGTATGAAAGTGAGTCGCAGGTGAAAGATCGCCTGAGAAATGCTTCGTCGCAAATATACCAGGAGTTTGAGAGTTGTTAGATATTTGAATAAGGGCCCCAGATAGACCTAGATATATCCGTGAATCGTATGTTGGTGGTGATGAGTTCTGGTTCGACTTTCTTGCGGTTGTCAAATCTCTGCTGACTGATTTTTCGACCAAGATGCCGAGTACAGCTCCTTCAAGCCGAGAATCCATCTAAAATTCATCCCACACTTTTTCGTGACTGAATCTCGGGTCTAGGAGAATATTTCACTTCCAGGTTCGTAGAGGGCACCACTGACAGTTGTTCAGCCTTCGTACCCCTGGATATTGAGCTATCTTGAGAAATAATAATAAATTGGGACAGAATTTATGTTTATCATCCAAATTGGTATTATCACGTGATGAGCATGTATCTGTCAACTTGCATTCCCGACTGACATTTCAACTCAACCACGTCCCACGCAATTCACGAAGATCATCGAAAGTTAATAACAATTTCCAGGCTGAAATTAAGATTGGAAGATAATTACCCTGGAGTAACGTACATGTTGTTGCCGAACTCCTACTTAAATTCAGAATAGATCCTCATCCTGGCTCCGATATACTTTGTCTCCAGCGGCGACCATCCCCTTGATTGCTGGCGGGGGAGCTTCTGGGGTATGAATACAACAGCTACGTATACTCCACTTGAGTGTCTACTGTTGTTTCAATCACTTGTCGCATTAGGCACAGATGATGAAGACTTTATCAAAATTTCTGACCTCCTGAAGAAAAGTCCTTTAGTTTGTGGAAATCCTTCTTACGACCCCAAAAGACTAGATGCGAAATCTCTTCAGCAGCTTTATCTCCGGATATTACGGGATGAGCTGCGCCTCGAAGAATCAGATGGACGTGAGGAAAATAGTCGAGTGCATCCCAAAAATCGCAAATACCTTAGTTCATCGCCTCTTTTGCTTAATGATTCTCGAAAATATAAACATAAGCTACATATGTTAGAAGATAGACTATATGCAAAATATCGAGAATATATGATAAGGTCGATTGATGAAGATGAAAGGAAGTTTGCGTCCCTACAAGAAGAAATTGAGAAAATAGAAAATGGTGATTGGAATGAAGGATTAACTAACCCAGAGAAAGGGCAGAAAAATAGAATTAAATTTACACCCATTAAAAATAATGGATACACCTCTTTGCCTTCCTCTGAAAACGATAAGCGTCCCGAAAATTTCTCGAAGCGCTTCTCACCTGCTTTATTAAGTTCCTCAAGTCACATATTTTCCTCCAAGACTAAACCAGCTGTACCTTCAGAAGGTCAAGAACTTCATAGCGGTGAGAGAGAGGAAATAGATTCACTTCCATCCAAAATCGTAGGAGATCAGACTAGCATTCAGCTAAGCTTAGGCCCGAGGTATAATTGTAGTATACAAGATAAGAAGTCGCCTCAGTCCAAATCCCAAAAACCATCTGATTCGAAATGGAAATCTCCACATGGAGATTCTCGCCAAGCTTCACCACAAGAAAAAGATAACCAAATCAAAAGTCAACAGAATTCTAGTCAATCCAATTCAGTTACCCCCTGGGAACCTTGTATCGTCTCTGCTTTAAAACCTATAGTCAAATCAAACTCATCAATTCAGGCAGCCACCACTTCACGAATAAGATTTTCAATACCACATTCAGCTGGAACAATGTGCTCACGAATGTCTCTAGATACTCTTGCCGAGGCTGCAGGTCAGCAAAATCGTGTTTCTCTTGAAACTTTATCAAATCCAGCGATACATCAACCCAACAAAAATGTACTGAATTCACGTTCTAATTTACAAAAAATATCCCCTAATAAAGTTCCTCAGCAAAATAAACAGAAATCTTTATCTCAATCATTGTTCTCGAAGTCAAAAAAGGTTACATCACAGCGCTTAATCAAGCCCGAAAGAAAACATTACAATTCACCTTACAATACAGGCCGAAATCTACCCGTACAAAGTCTTTCGTGTTCAAAACAGAAAATTAAGGGGTATCAAAACCTCCCAAGTACCCCTCATGTTTTCGACAGTCGAAAGTTTGTGACCGGAACTGGAACAAAATGGAAAGCCCAACCGTCTGGACTAACACCCAGGAATTTTACTCCCCTCCCACCACCGCCAATAGAACCACTTAGTCCAATTCTCAAGTCTGCCAAGTTGATGGTTCACGATCGTAAGTCTACCTCGAAAGATTTATCATTGCAAAAAAAGCATAAACCACAAGCACCATCGCCACATGCGCCTTATGGTAAAAATTTCAATATTTCGTCAACACCGGCTGTCATTATACCTCCTAAAATTAGAGCAGATGACTCAAGATCCAAAAATAAAAAGATGGATGATGCTCTTGACCCTCAAGATGATGAAGATTTTTCACAAACTAAATTCAAGAATGCAAAAAATATTGGTTCAAACGAATTAGTAATTACAAAGCTATTACACACTGACACATCCAACTACCGTTCCACAAAACGAAAGCGGGGAAAGTTTTATGATATAGGATCCCGTCCACCTTCTACTATCCTCTGGACACGCGCTTTCCCTAAAATATCTGCACAGGCGCTACAGGATATTGTCACTGACAAAAATGCAAGCATGTTCGCAAACCCAATTAAGGAGAAAGATGCACCGGGGTATAGGACTATAATACTTAGACCACAGGACTTGAAATCGATCCGTTCTGCCATTACTGCTGGGCATCGAGCAGCTACAGCAGCAGCACCCGAAGACCTTAGTCCCTATGCATCCAGCGCCTGGCTTCCCATATCTGAAGATCTAATCCCCCCCAAAGGAATCATTAATTACTCTCAGCTTGAGAAAGAATTAATGCGTATGTTTGCCAATGCAATAATGTTTAATGCCGATCCAAAGCGTGGCCTCGGTCCAGCATGGCAGGATGTCGTCGAAAGGAATAAAGAAGAAGCCTTAGGTTATGCATTTGATGAAGATAGCATAGTAAGAGGTACTAAAGATATGTTTGCTGCAGTCGAAAAAAAAGTTAGCGATTTGAGAAGCGTTGAAAGAAGAAACGAGGTTGCAAAAAAGGCCAGTCTAGCCACTATTAAGATTGACGACAAAGGTGACGAGTCTGAACAGGATTTAGATAGGTAAACCTGAAAGCATCTAAAATCATATACGCAGAGATAAAGAAAACTTTAAAACTGATAAGATAGCAACATATCAAAGCACGCAAATTACGTGGAACGACAAATCTAAACCCCTGAAAATAACTCGGCTCGCACCACAAATTTAAGAATACCCAATATTTTTAGCGAAACGATCAATTGTTCCGCTCTCTTCTCAATAAAAGCACCGAGTCGTCAAGATAGATGTGGGGAGAACAGGTCATTTAAGGTCAAAAAACTCTAACTAAGATGATACTTTTCTAGGGTCACAAAGTCATTTTCTTCATTTTTAGAAAATCGCTACATGCGTTTCTCTCTATTAAGGGGGCTTACCTTAGTGGGCTATAATAAGCCTAATTCAATCTCAATCAATACATAGGACTATCTAATGGTGGCCAGATTATTATTGATCTCAATATCAAAGTTTGAACCAAAACTTTACCTGCACCTAACTCAAAACCATCAAAGACGTAGAGTCGCTAATAATTATTGTGTCAAACTTTAACTCCTACCGATGATAATATAGATAGGTGTCATATACCCACGTCATCAAATTTAAGCTCCTAGATGGATAAAATGACTGTCAGTTTTTTTTGGTTAACGAAAGAATATTATTCCTTAATCTAAGAATAAATACTCTCATTAGAGAAAAATTATTCATGGTAGTTATGACTGATGTTTATAAAATATGAACGCCTTTTAGATGCCTTCAGCATAGAAACCTTTCAATAGGCTATGTCAAATTACACTTTCGCGCATATTATTCAAAATAAATACAATTCTCTTCAGCTATGTAACGCAATCTTTAAAGCTCTTTGCTATTATAAATCATTCGGGGATGTTTGATAACTTACAAGAAATTAAAGTTAAACTTGAGTTATTCATGATGGTCATAGAGAAATAATCAATAATATGGGCATCAAGCTGTTGAGTGTATCTATATGAATTATCTGGATATGAGGTAGATACATGGATGAAGATACCTATTGTTTAAAGTTATCTGATAAGTAGTCCTGAACGGTTAAGTTACCAGCCATGACGATTATCAAAAGACCGAGAGCTACATTTCACAAAACAGATGCTTCATAGGCTTACATAGTTATCTAAAAGACTAATAATTGTACAAGAGAAAATACCTTGCAAAATATATCGCCGCAATAATTTCGTTCCGCGCTTATTATCGTTTTACTATTCGGACGTATCACTACCGTCATATACACTTGTGATTCAACGATTTCATTTACTTAAAAGTAACTTTTTTTCTACTTTTTGAATATTGCATCGACTTCAATTGGTGACTAAAGTTATCCCATCCATACCTATTGAAGTCATTGTTGACAGGCCTCAATCAATAGCGCTGGGGAGTGGAAATAGAGTGTACTGAATTGTATATATTATTACTTCTATCTAGGATGTATCGAGTCTCTGTGGATTAGATGAGATGCACAGACCTCTCCCGATTAGTCAACTAGCACTGTCTGTCGAGCCTGATTTCTTAACATCCAACCTGAGTGGAACCAACATTGACAATTTCTCTTCTTTTTTCCCGAACTCGAACGCCATTACACCCAAAAACACACACAGAAAACGAGTCCCAAAACATGAGAACGTAAAGCAGCACTATGTGAACAGAAGCTAATAAAATCTAAGTCCTTTATTCATATGTTTATCGGCGTAACCTGGTTGTTTAATAGATTCATCCATTCTAATGGGAAGTGTGTTCTTGTCAATGAATCTCGTCAACGCCTGGTTGGGCGATGATTTAGTCATTGCATTGGCACTGTCATCTAGTCCATTAATCTAGCGAATCTCTTCAATCTCTCTTCGTTTACATGATTGACGAAAGGCCATCACGTTAATCATCAGACGCCTTTCATTGATTGTTCCCAACTTCGTTAGGCACTCATATAGACTGAAAGAATCTGTATAAATCACAAATAGGATGGGTCTTAATGGAAGGTCCCTCGTCACCAACTTAAGAGTTGTAACAAGTGCCAAACCTAAGTCGAGCCCGCTGACCATAGATAGACCATAGGCGGCTTCGGGCTGGCAGATGGAGGCGATATACGCACCCCGAGCACGCTGTTCTAGAAACTATTGTGCCCGGTTATCAGCCTTACTGTTGACAGCCTTAAGCTTAGCTCCTTGACCTTTCTGATGCATACCAATATATCCCGCTTTATCATCCTTCATAGTCACAATGCAGCCATTGAAATTAAGCGATAATTTGGATGAAAGTACCAGCTTCTCTTTAGTATCGAATTTCGCCTTTTCGATCTCTTTTTGCTTTTTTGCAAAGAAATTAGGACTAGAAAAAATGAGGTTATCATCGGTCTGCATACCAACCATGCCAAGTCCGTGGATTGTTGCATCATTATTCACAACCATAAGACATAGACTGCATGTCGAAGATATCATATGGAGATTCTCAATATGATGCTTTTGCTAGGTGGTTAACCAGTGAACACCTGATTCTGCGACACCATATAGGGGCTTTATGACATGTGACACTGTCCCAGGTGGATATTTATTTAGCAGTTCGGATGGTAGCTGAGCGAGAATGTACCGCTGTGAGACGGTCTCTGGTCGTGAGTATGTGTAACAGTTCCGATAAATAAAGCTTGGGCGTTCGTATGTCGAAAGGTAAGTTTATTTACTAACTGAAAAACAAGACTACTGCTACACTCAACGCCCTATTTATATACATGATCCCAATGTTTCAAATACTAGTCTCTATCCTCTAGTCTGGCTCCCATTATTAAAGTGTGAGCTAGTTACGAACGATGTTTCGTGCACGGGCAGTACCAGACTTTCAATACCAGCGTATCTTAGCGCTGAGGTAATGAGTATGCATGTGATGAATAGCACAGACTACAGGCAATCTACCGGCTTACTAGCCGCCACAGTATGCTTGGGTAAAAACCCTCAGTTCCACCGCCGTTGATAAATGTAGACAAGCGGCAATTGCAATGAGCAGTCGCTGACTGACACGCTGGATTGTGGGTGACTAGATGAGTATGTGAGTTTTATCAACGTCATTATGGCCGGCAATGACAAGTCGTGATTTTTCATAGGGATTGTCACTTTTTCCTCTCAACTCGCGGACTATTCGCGACTTGAACAGGCGGATATTTTTGTGTACCCCGTCAGGATCATATTTCACAAATTCAAAAACTCCACTTTTAGACAACTGATCAATCTCTTTCTCATCAGATGTTTCAAATAGTGAGCCAGGTGTTATAATAATACCCTCTGCACGAAATTTGAGCGACAGGATTCGATCGCTCTCTTTCTTTGACAGGTATGTTGGCAACGAGATAGAAGAAGGTGTTGCCTTTGGTTTTTTCCTCGATCCTTGCGGTCGGCCCCGAGGACGGGGTTGCTCAGATTGAATAGTAGTTTGTGGCGGGTCGTGCTAATCAGGAGAGGATGTTATTATATCTTATGACGGCTCTGATGTTACTATGCTATCCCGGCGTTGATAAGGTCGAACGTGGGTTGACCTAAAGGTGACTAGGCCGTTTATCATTTCGACAGTAACATTGTGGCCTTCCATGGCGACTATTTTGTAGGTTCCTTTCCATCCTTTATTTTCTCGCCATATGATTACTCTGCTTTGAAGAGGCAAAACAAGGATTGTACCATCATCAGGACCATTACGGTCGTTAAATGCTTCATTAACCTAACGTGCTGCAGCAAGTTTTTGAAGAGTTATCGTAGCCTTGTGCACAGCTGCTCCAAGTTTGAGAGTTATCTGAGATGGCGGCGAATCAACCGCTACCCTTGGGTAGGCACCAAAAACCAATAGCGTTAGTACTAGACCATCAGGGCTAGTGATATCATTGACAGCCTTAACAACCATCTGCAGTATTGCCTCTTCTCATGTAAATAAGCCTAGTTCCGTATGAAGTATCTCCCATGCCTTGCGTAACGGTGCATGTCCCCTTCGATTTTTCCGATAGACGAGTGTGCCTCAGTGGTTATTTGCTTACATGTGATTCCCATCACCATTGAATCATTACGCCATTAGGTTGAGCTGAAATTGGTTTCAGTATCATATGTCAAAGTATCAGGTGGGCCAAGGTGTTACGGGGTTACCTGCTACTGGTTGTCTGGGCTGACCTGCGTGCCCAGTCTTGCATTTAATTTGGACGCAGCGAAAGGCCCAGCCTTTCGCACGAACAAGCACTCTCTAAAGTGCTTATGTAAGGTAATCATCAGGGCGCACTTTATGTCCGCACAATCCAGTTGTAGTTATCTCTCCCATAGAAGAATATTAATTATCTATGGTATTGCTTGCGTGCAGTGACTGTCTGCTTTAACCCTTCACACAAGGTATGTATCGGCCCACAACATACGAAATGCCTCAAACGTGTCGTGTGCAGGTAGCGAGGGAAGAAACTTTGCACCATGGAATGATATAGCGGAATCAATTACATGAAAAACTGGTTTCCCATTCAGATAAATGATATCTACTGATACTTCGTAGTTGAACTCGTGGTCGTCTTTAAGTGAGAACTTAAATCTTCTAGGAGTAGATCCCTGCATCTAGCAGTGATGGCATAAATATTCAACATGCTGTAGCATGGATAGGTCAACGTCACTGTGGCCAGCTTAAGTTAGAAGTTTGTATAGCCTATTAGTTGCTGGGTTTCCAAATCTACGATGTATGCGACGTAGCTCTACTTCAATGAAAAAACGGCTGGCGTTCTCAGTGCGTCGTAGATGGAACCAAGCGTGGCCCCAATTTCGTACTACAGGGATTGTCTTTTCACCTTGGAAAAGTTGATTGGTAACATTGTTGAAGCTGACGTTCAACTTGTCCATATCCGTAAGGCGTAGTAGGAACGGTGTTGGAGTATCCAGTGTGTGAAACCTGATACTGCCAATTTCTGTAGACAATTGTACTGTACCAATGGATGAGACAGCTTTACCTGGGCCGAATTGAATAATTACCTGGCCTGCGCTTGCCAAATTAAGTTGTAC